ACTCACCTAAAGTAGGAAATTGTTTGAGTTCGAAGAGATATCACAAGTCTGTAAATACAGTGTTTTCTCATAGTGATCAATGACAAGTATTTCGTAATACTAATGATTCCTGTTTGTTTAGTTCTTCTAGAACTGAATTTTCTTTCAGGGAATCTGACACCTCTTTTTTTTTAAACGTCCTGTGGTTAAAGGATAATCAAATCAGTTTTCATATATTAGAGACTAAATCCTTCATATATTCCCATTTCATACTTGTTCGTGTGCTTCTTAAAATCTTTTTTCTTACCAGCTCTTAGTTGATTTGAATTAAGCCGTGTAACTAATGCCAAACGTTTATTCCTGCTCTGAAATGGATTTTGTAATTCTGGCATCGTATCTCTTCATCTCGCTATGGCTCCTTGTCAAAACTATGCTCTTCACAAGTTAAAGAGAAAAAAAAAAAAACACACAAAACCCTTTGCAGCCTCAATCTGGCACCCAGAAGTCAGGCTGAGCTCCTGGGTTTCATTCTTGTCCCAACATCTCCGGGAGCTACAAGGCCGAATCCTGCACCGATGCCCCACGTGCTCCTCTGCTGTCTCCCAGGTGCTCTTAGGCACCACCAGCGGAGCTGGTCTGGAAATAAAACTTAATTAAACGTTTCACTGGTGATAATTGAGCCATAATAGAGTAATACCAAAAAAAAAAAAAAAAAGAAAGAAAAGAAAAGAAAGTGCCTATCCAGACATGTGCTCTGCTGCTCCCCTCTCCTAGTGGCAATGGGCAAACTGCGACCATGAGCCCGGCCGCAGCGGCTCCCGCTCCGCTCAGCACCAGCTGTGCCCAAAGCATTTACAGTATGATTTTATTTTAGGAGCCTTTCCATTTTTTGTAAATAAATCAAATGAATGTTCTTTTTGCACAGCTGTAATTCACCCACATTGTTGCAGTAGAGCTTATTATCTCATTTACATTTTTAAGTGCTTTTCAAAGTGTAGGATATCTGGGCTGGAAAGCAAAACATTGCGTTTCTTTGTTCTCAGGCCAACACAAAGCACTTCCAAGGTCAGGTATGGTGTAGACTTTCAACAGCAAACATGTTTACATGGCATTTGAAAGCCGGTTTAACTGAAAAAAAAATACTGTCTTTATAACAGTGATGTAAGTCAGCTTAGCAAAGCTGAGAGAAGGGGATTAATTTTGTACTTTGAAAAATTTAACTTCGTAAGTTCGGCTTTGTTTTCCATTTGGGGGAAAAAAAAAGAAAAGCCTCTGACAGCCAAAAGTTGGCCTTTTTTTTTTTTTTTTTTTTTTTTTTTAGCTCTCCCTTTAGCTTTTTTCGTTTTTACTATCCTTTTCCTTCATCCCAGCAGCTATTAAACAGGCATGGTGTTATTCTATGGGTAAAATCTGACACTTTGAAGCTGCAGAACTGCTTTTCAAAAAGAAAAAAAGACCTCAAAAAACAAAACAAAAGCTTGTTTAATTTTACAAAAGAGCTGTTCTGTGGTGTACCTCGGGTAAGTCATCTCCTGTTTTGAAGAGTGCTCTGTATGAGAAAAGCTTATCTATCAGATACAGAAAAAAGATATGATGGTTTTGGGTACCCAACAAAATAGGTATCAGAGCATTCAGGCTGTGACCAGCAGCTAAGTGAGGATTTGCAGTGTGACCTTCAGAGGGGTGCGCTGCTCCTGGCATCTTCCATGGCTCCTCCTGGAACATGGAAATCATGGGCAACAAAATTGCTTGCTTCCAATTGCTGCTTTCAGAGACAACCATATGCATGAATCTGCAGCAACCATGAGATTTTCGTGGTACTTGTTCGGTATGGGCTTGATCAACCGCTGACTTTTTTAATTTTGTCCACATAGTGATAGGAAAGCTGGAATACCCATACAAGCACTGCAAGTGGCTCACAGGACCTCCTTTATACCCAAACCTGGAGTCTGTGCAGTGGCAGGAGTTGGTTTGTCCTCTACCCATCCGTGTTTGTCGTCAGTAGTAGGTGCTGGGCTTGGCAGTGTAGCGAGGGTTCCTCCCTCCTCGTTTTTCACCGTGCCAAGCTACTCTGACTGTATAAACTGATCACGTGGAAATAGCAGGAGAAGACGGGGCGCGCTTTGTAGTTTATCTGAAATGTGCTCTGGGGATGGTCCTGAGAGTTGTTCTGCAGCGGTTGTACCTCTACACTTTGAAGTCGGGGCAAGACTCTTCCCAAATTAATTGGCTCTTCCGTGACTTTTGTGGTGTGTGGAAAGGCCCTGCTCGTTCTGTATCACAATTGCACGACCCGATCGTTTTAGGATTGAAGTCAAGATAGGCTTGTTTGTATTTTAAGTTACCATATTAGATATACAAAATGGAAACAAAAAGCCTACAATTCACACATACATTTCATTATGTTATTGCTAATTAAAGGTACTGCAAGACTTGTTGAGCGTAGAAGACTGAATTGATGTTCAAAGACTGGATTTCAACATTTCTCAGCAGTGGTGAGAGCATAAAAGTTCCTGGGCAGATCCGAAGTTCATGCTTGGGTCTGGTTAAATTTTTTGGCATCAGAACATGTAATAGTCTTATAGCTATAATACTTTAAAGTTAATGCCTGGCATCACTTCAAAACAATGTGCAAGATCTATCATAAGTAGTCCTCTTATCTTATCTCCATAGCAATTTTATCCTGTAAATGATTTGAGAGTACAGTATTTCAGTGCTGGGGAAAAGAGCGACTTTTTTTTTCTGTTAAATCTTTGTACTGTGAGCACTTTTAATGATCCTGATTTATGTGTGGGTATTCTACTTTGAGGAAGCAAACGATAACCGTATCACATGTGCTGAAAAACGCATTAAGGGAACATGGCCTTGCTGGGCTCTCCTGTGCAGCAGGCTCTGCAGATGTTCTTGCTGCAGCTCCGTTTTTTGTGGAAAAAAAAACCTGTGCTGAGGCGCCTTCTGGGTCATTTATAGCAGATATCGAGTCTAAGTCTTTGCTCTGGCCAACTCCTGACTGTGCTGCACACATTTGAGCTGATGGGCAGCTCTGCCTGAATTTCCTGGCCTATGGAATATAACTGGAAATCCTCCCTCCGTGCTGCCTCTGGATTGGTGCCAGTCCAACGCTCTCCCTGTGCACTTTGCTTCAAGTCCCTGCTTGTAGTTAGGCAGGACTTTATTCAAGCTGACAGCATCACTAAGCTTTTAGCAAGTGTGCAAGTGAATGCTAAGTGTGTATTCAAACCTTCAACAATGCCTAGGAAACTTGAAAAAAAAATCTTTGAAACTCTATATTGTTTGTTTGGTGTCTATCTGTTAGGAATAACAGAGACTATCAGCTCCTTGGGGCAAGACTGTTCTTTTGTTAAGTGAATAACAAAAAGATCAAGGCTTGGAGGGGCTGCCCTAATAAAGATAAATATACAAGAGGAACAATAATGACAAAATAAGTTTGTCGATGCATTTTATGAGCTTGGTTTAAAAGTGATTATTTCTGAACTAAATAAAGATTGGATAGTTGTGGTAAAGTTACATGATCGTAATATCCGTTTTTATTTATTGTCGTTTTTGCTTTGTATGTCACATGCTAGATGTTACCACAGGGGAGGAAGGGAGCTCCCCGTCTTGGAGAGCTCTCCGTGGAGGTAACAGGGAGCACATTGTCCCTGCAAATTCCGCTCATGGTTTTCCCGAGGATCCTTCAGCTGGTTTAGGGGAAAAGTGGTTGGTACCCTGTGAAAGGGCTCCTAGGAAGCACAGACTGTACAAATAAACTGATAGCAAACATACGAGACAGAACTTGCTACACTTCCTTTTCACTTTCAGTCTTTGAGGACATTTATGACATTTTTAGTATGAATACATGTAAGCTCTGATAGAATAGAACCTAGCATTTAACTGCACTTTTTAATGAAATTTAACTAGGCCTTCTTAGCATCTTTCATAGGTTGCTAAAAGCCACTGTAGCTGAGGAGTTGGGCTGGTGTTGCACTGTTTTCTTACTCAACCTCTTGAACTGCATGAACTGAGTTTTTCTGTCCTGCTGCGTTTCTCACGTGTGTTTCGCATCCATCACTTTTGTTTCAGGCCTTACAAGATGAGATGGAAAGTTACCGCAGCCAGGTGCGGGCTGCAGAAAAGAAGCTGCAACACAGAGAGCTGGAGACCCAGGAGCAGGTATCTGGCACAGAGCCCTCCTTCTCTTCCCTTCGGCGAGGGGGTGTCTAGATTTAAAAATAATATCTTGCTGCGAAGCAAAAGCGCATATTTGCCTCTAAAATTTTCAGCTAGCTTTCTTTTCTGTTTTTGTTAATAAAAGAGAATTAAACTGTCTGGACCCTACGGGCAAATACTTATCTTATGCTCTCTATTTTGGGTTGGTATTTCAAATATTCTAGCTGTTAAATTTATTTTCAAGCAACGATGCTGTTTTAATAGAGGGTTTGGGGGCTACTCTAATCTGTCCTTTAATGGCTTGTATTAAAAGAATTACGATTGGTCAATAACTGAGGCATACGTAATTCTTATTGCTGATCTTATGCATTCATTGTCCTTATTGTCTATAAACAATTCCATATGATGAATATTGCCAAAATTATTCTGGATGTTTTCAGTGAAATCAGAGATTCTGTTTGCTTCAAGTGAATTCATGTAGGTAATTTAGAGGCTGGTATTGAAATGGAAAGTGCATGATCTGCATTTAAACCAATTTTAAATTGAAACATTCAGGAAAATAGGGAGGTGTCTGAGTCACCTACAGACTTACAGATCTGCAATGCTAGTGAGTTTGTGAATCCCTCCAGAACTTTGTTTGGTGCTCATCTCACAGTTTCCATAACTGTTTTTCTTAACCCAAACTTGAAAGAATAGTAATATAGAGTGGTTGTAGAAGGATAATAATGAATTTCAAATATTTTTTCCCCAGTTGTTGTTATCCTGCTTGCGAATGGCTCTCTGCATTGACCTTCAGTGTTTACCTCTATGTATTTCCTCTCTTCAAAGTCAGTGCTTTGCTATTCCTCTGCCCCTGCCGCCGTCTCCCAGATCCAGAGTTGGGTCGGGCTCTTCAGGGCTGCGACGCTCGCGGCACCTGAGCACTTTGGTGTAACCAGTGCCTGGCCTGCAAGCGTTGCATTCCAGCTGCTGTCTCCTAGAAAAGAGCAGGAAAATTAGGTACCTGTCCGCTCTTGGGTTACCGAAGGACTGGCTCAGCTGGGGAATTATGTGCATCTGAAACGTTATTTAAATCACATTACAAGTGCTTAGACCTTGTCTGGCAAGGCAAAAAAAGCGGATTTATAGTAAGACTGACATATGTGTTAGTCTACTGGCTTGTCACTCTCATTCATATATTGAGAATTCCCAAATTGGTTGGATCCATTCAGGATGTTTATGTGTTTCGGCTTTTTCTTTTTTTTTTCATTTTTTCTTCACAGAAAAACATTTTTGAAAGTTGTTAGGGACTCTGTGGCTGGTTAATCCATTAGTTATGCCTATCTCTCTGGAATAAAAAATGTCTGCTTTGACATACCTGCAGTTCCTGTGTCTTGGCCAGACTGCCTGCAAACATGACCATCAAGCATTAAGAGTAGCTGACGTCTAATCAGCTGATTAGGGAGCTGGAATATTTAAGGCAGCTGCTTAGAACTTGCTTTCCACTTTTACCAAATATTGTCTGATAGAGAATTGCATAAAGCATCAAAATTTGCGCTGGCTCTCTTACAAAGGCCGCTTTTCAGAGCTTTTACATGTCTATAAATAAGGAGGAGCAAGGGTTAAACAGCTTCTGCTTTTCATTAAAAGGAAAAATCTTGTGTTTTGATTCTATAACAACAACAAACAAATGAATGAGACATGAAAAAACATTTTGTTGTGCTTTTAATTAAAATTAAAAAGCTGTTTCTCGTTATGGCTTGTTGGGTGGTATCGTAGTGCTCCGTGTTTGTCTCTTTTCCATGTGACGTCTTTATAACTCTGCAGTCTCTGGGAGTGACTGACACATTCATGGAGCTTAACTCTTTGCTAGTAATAAGCCGTGGTGATTGTGCAGAATTAACCTCTCTTTATTATAATTATCCAAGCAGATAGAGTCTAGTTACTGACACAAACCATCCCATAAATAAGAGCAGAGGGGAAATATGTTAGGAGGACTGTGATGCCAAAGCAGTGAGTTGTCTACAGCTGAGTGTGGCCTTCCAGTTCGACTGTGAAGCTTTTTTGTTCCAATTTTTCATGCTATTGTATGGATTTGTTTTTACTTTCTTTCTGCTTCTCTTTACAGGGTGAGCAGATAAAAACACCTTATATCAGTGTTGTTATTTTTTCAGTGATAGAGGTTGTTGATGATATTGCAGAATGGCAAAGTAACCCAAATTACATATTGCAGTCCAGATTAACATACATTTGTCAAAAGCAATTTTAATTCATTATGTTTCCAGTACTTTTATCTTAATGTCCTGAAGATCTTCTCCTACTTTGACCAACATAACTGATAATGCAAGATTTTTTTCAGATTGTGAATTGACTGCTTTTTCATTCCTGATCCTGATGTTTTAAATAAAGGGGCAGATCGGATATGATGTAAAATTTATAATTGGAAATAGCAGAGGGAAAAAGTCCCTCTTACATTCCCAAACAATGGAAGTAACATAAGGTATTCAAACCGTAAGAATACTCCTCCTGTGAGCAGTCATTTCACAAATTGAGCCTTAAAGGAGGGAGATTTTGTAAAGACAGAAAATCAATTATGTTCAATTCATGAATATTGCTGAGGAAATGAAGGAGAATACCAATACAGACTTACAACCCTTTAATATGGTTTTTTTTTTCCCCAAATAGATTATAAAAAAAGAGAAAGGACTTATCTGAGTTAGGATGTTGTAGAAGTATTTGGAATAAAATGGAACAGCTTATTTAGTTAAGTGGATTTCACTCCAGTGTTCAAATGAAAACAGGAGCGATAATTGCAAGAGAGCCCTGCTTCAATAGCATTCAGTGAGTTTTCTTTTTAATGTTTATTATTCTGACTTGCTCAATTTTTTATGACTGCTGGATATTTACCACATTCAGCCTAACTTGCTGTTTCCATGCCAACTAAATATATTTGTTCTCAGACGACTGCTGTGATGCATCGTTCTGAAATTTTAGTTGCTATGTAGCAGAGCAAACTTCGCACATTTGCCACACCTTAGTCTTCATGGGAATGGCACTACTGTCTGCACATCTGAGCAACGAATCAGTAAGATTGAGGTGACCAAAATACTCCTGATTCTAGAGCATGTGCCCCAAATCTCTCCTAATAGTGAAAGCTGGAAGACTTGAGTAATATTATCCCTGGTGTTTAGGGCGTTTGGTCCATAGTTCTTGTCAGACTTATTTTAAAGATATCCAGACTTTTTTAAGATAGATGTAGTCAGATAAATTAATGGAAAATCTTTGCCTTAACTTCTGTTATTCTGGACTGCTTTTATAATTGCATTATGGCTGCTATCACCAGTTTGACGAATGCTCCGGAAAATCATGTGTAAGCAGGGAGATTTCCATCATCTGGACACTGATGAAGGGATGCAGGAAGCTTGCTTCCAAACCAGACTCTTTCCTGTTCCAGGAGGACTTTCAGCTCAGGTGTCTCAGATAATTGCAAAAGCTGTGCTGTGTTCTGGGCATACGCGCCTTGAGTTCTCCTGCTCAAAACTTGACCCTGGAATTTGCAGACTTTCTCAGAGGTTTGTCTTTCTCAGAACATGCCAGAGTTGTCTGAAACGATGATAATAAGCTCTAGGCTTTTAAAAATCTGGCCAGCAGCAGGTGAGGAGCTCTCTAGACAGTCTTTGTTTTCCAGAGCTGACGAGCACTTTGGAAACCACGGCACAAATAGGGAGCATCCGCTGGAGGTGGTGACGAAACTCTGCCGTTTGCTCCACTTGCTTCAGCCCACTCCACTGAACCTCTTCCACATGTTTCCCCTGGAGACCCATTTCTGCTCCCACAGAAATGGGAAGCTTAGTCTAGATTTGAATGATCTTAAACCGCAGCAGTGATTCATAGTGAGAAAGCCTTGCCTTGGTGCTGGCTCCAGACCAGCCCATTAACCGCGCGGGCAAGCTGCCCCGCGCCCGGCACCGCTGCAGTGGTGAAGAAAGTGAGACTCGTAAGAAGTTCCCTTTGTGACCATCAAGGACGGCGACGCCAAGGGCTGTCACATTAAAACCGTGCCTGCCGTGTCCGTCTGTGATCCGCACATAATGGAGAGGCTGGATGTGAAGAGCTTTTCTGCGCCTCAGCACGGCTCAGACGGAGGAGGAGGAGGAGGGGGATGGCGCCCTGCCATGGCCCTGTGCTTGCTTTCCAGCCACTGCTCTGCCAGCATCCCAAACCTGGGGTCAGGAGGCTGCCACATGCTCCAGCCGCCTGCCTTCCGTAAGGCATTTCAAACATTAGCATCAAGGAATTTTCGTACATGCAGTGAAAAGTGAAGAGAGAGCAGCCAGAATAGCGTCGCTCCCCGCTCCGCAGGCTGAGCATCTGCCAAGTTAATGTCTAGGGAGTGCACAACAGAAGATTTATTCTCTGACTACTTATGGTGAACAAATAGAAAGTTTTAAATATTTTTAATGAAAAGAAGATAAAGGGTTGGAAGACCCCAGAAAAGCAGTGAAGATGCATGTGACATGAGAGCACATGAGTCTGTCTGACAGATGCAGAGCAAGACATCCCTTCCCTGGCTTGTCTTTCTCATTTGGGACTTCCAGATAGAGGCTGTTGAGGAGAGAATCAGGTTGATACAGTTGCGAAGGACCTTTCATGGACAAACAGGTAGATAAATAAGCCTATATGTGGATGAAAATGTTGATCTATGTGAAATGGGTGCTTGCACTATTTGGAGCTCAATTCTGCCACTTTTAGGTTGGTTAATGTCTTACTGCGCAAGTAACTGATGCACTCAGGAATCACTTTGATGCAGTAATACCCCCAAATTTTTAGCTAAGACCAAGATCGTTCCAGTAGTAGTAATATAACTTTGTATTCAGCATGTTCTATAATATACTTTGCGTAGCGTCTTCTTTAACGGCCTGTCATGAAAGGAATGCAGAATTGCGTAGAATATAGTAAGTTATACTACATAAAATGAAGTTTCATAGTAGCAGAAGGAGGAAGAAGCTGAGATTCAAGAACAG